TCGGGTGAAAAACTGTCCGAACGATGTTAATGTCGTACAAACTTTCGTCGACAGAGTAGGGTTTCGTCATTTATTTTAGTTGACTTAAGAGAAAGGAAATAAATGTAAACACATAGTCGCTTTATCGTACTCGTTCATGTGGACGACGATAGATGGGAAATTCCGTTTCATAAAAATGTTTTCTTTAGCTAATTGAAAAAAAATTGGTTATAATATAATTAAGCAATATTTCTTTAGTAAAGTAAATAAGAAAGGCCGTTCTACAAAAATAGGTTACTTCGTCACGTTACGTTTAACGTAATCTTAATTAGTTATAGGTTTATGAAATGATGAATGTGTTTATAGAAGCATAGCGCTAAGTTGTTTTGAAGCGCTTTTACTATACGAAATCAACCAAATCACCGTTGTAAGTGTAAAGTCATTGATCGTACTTCTAGTTGGCGCTTAATTTGGACCTCAGCTTCCTAATTTCCACTAAAAAAAACACAATAGACTTATTTGTGAAATAATTTTAGTGCAAAATTTATACTTCTATTGGACAATGTTGAAGTTAGCTCCAGAGGGTGGCCACGACACATTTAACAATAATCCTTATAGGAATTTCGCCTACTTCGATATTCTCGAGCTCTAGAAGGAAAATAACAGAGTTTGCTTTTTTTAGCTGTCTACAAGAACTCTGCCTGTTGCTTCGTTCGAACGTTCGCGTTCCTTTGGATCCTATGACAGTGCAAATGTTAAGATATGGCAAAAGTCGGTGGACACGGAACGAGACCTTGATGTGCCTAAATCACAGAAGTCGCTCAGCCATACGGTGCCCTGTCTCCAACTAATCGTTTAAATGTATATATTAGATAAAATACGACCCCTCCGGCTACCTGAGATCGTGCCACGGGTTAATCTCTATCTTCTAGACGCTAGCCAGATTGAGGGACCCAAGGCGAACACTACTGACGATAATCATCTGGTGTATTTCCAGCTCAGACTCCTCGGAAAGGCTCTCGTTTTTCCAGTTCAGATCAGTCATACAAGGAACACTATCTTTACCTTCGAGCAGGGCTGGTTGCTCGACGGAAGAACATGAATAGCACCGTTGTTATAAGCACGCCACGCTCATGGTACTCAGTGGTTTATCTATCAGGTGAAATCTGCTGCGGTCGTTATAGGGCCGATTTCGACGGGCAGAGTCTCTGCAATATAGCCGATCGGTCTTAGGATATTCGTAGGTGAGATTCCTCTCAATGTGTGTCCATACGACCACGAGTCGCACCATGGTCGTGCTCTTATTTTTACTGTCTCAAGGGACCACTCTCAACTAAAAATAGTATGCTTATTTTCATTTGTACAGGCTTATAATTTCATGTAACATTCCACACAATGTATATCTTATACTCGATGTACTACGAGTAATGTTAGGACGGCTACAAATGCCTTAATGTGTTATAACTATATTGAGAGTTAGCTTTCTGTTTTCAATAGCTTTCTTTTATGATTATAGTATATTAAACAGAAATCAAACAATTGATATCGGACTTGTTTGGCACTCGTTGCATTCTGATATAGCGCTTGAAAAGCTTCGTGTTTCACAAACGATCAGCCATTCATACATCTGTTTGTTCTATAGATCATCAGATCACAGACGAATTACATCATCCGCATTGCAGGACGATTAATCCATGTAAACGATGCCAATTAGGAATTAAGCCCAGTAATTCCGTTAGCGATTGCCCACGCCCATCTGCCAACGACAATAGCGATTTGATAGCCGAAGTCCGCATTATGAATTCTGTTCAGATCATCCCGTGCCTGAAGATCGAAGCCCGCTAACCATTTTCTGTGAAGAAATTATATTAACTGGCACACACGCAAACACTATGCATACGATGATTTTTACGGTATGGAAATGTATAATGCATAAATTTAGACGAACAAACTTTCGTCAGTTAGATCGTGCATCGCGAAGATACACTTTGATGAAGAATAGAAGCTGATTAGCCCTGCGGCGTCCCTTCTATCGTTTGCGTTTACAAGTGGCTTACTTTGGCCCTACATGAAAATAAGTGCGCACCAATGGATCTACTGCAAATGACCAATATAATGAGTATATCGAAACCCCATATCTAAACATGTTATCATCAATGGTAAACATGGCGACACACTTTTAAGCTTCATAGACCAGCAGTGATGACAAGCGGAACGGGATTCTGCAAACCAGCCGCACGAAGTCTCTAGTTCACAATATGATATATAACGTTAATTCCAAAATAGTTCAGTGAATGTATAAATGCGCTGGTCACAATGAGATTCGACATACCTGTGAAATCATTAAGCGGCCTGTTAGATTACCGACCTCCTGACAGTCGAGACCTGCTAGGCTAAATCTATGGAACATATCTGGCCTCCGGTTTGTGCATGCTCGAATTCGTATCCTAAGGTGTTCTTTGATGCTAGGCTCAGGACGCCAATCACGCACAATGTAAGCACACTGATGAGGACCGTGACGGTAGTAACAATATGTCATGTTTGTTTGACCGCTTCATCGAATCCCGGTATTCCAGAAAGAAGGAAACTAGATGTGACAACGATAACGGAAGTTGTAACTGTATGGCAGCAGACACATTTGATTGTGTTCGAATTAGCAGGGATGATTACTTTCGTTGTTTGGCATGAGGAACTCCCTCAACAAAAAAGCGGTTGTCTACTTTTTAAACGCAGGATTATCTCGCTAGCTCTTTCTGTACATTGACATAGATTTATGTGTACGAAACGTGAAATAACAAAGATAATCATTACAATCATACTTTATCTTTGCTTCGTTGAGTGTATTATGAAGATGTCAACTTGAAAAGATTGTCTGAACGATCACCAAGCAAAATTTATTCTTGTTCTAATATTGTGTTGTTTCTCAATTGAATTATATTCACCGTGTAGCGTATGTCGTTGACGGGCTTGAGCCAGCGCTCCAGGCCATTACCATTCTATTATAGTCCCTGCTGGACAATTTCAGAATTCGGAAGGGCATTTTCGGTGGTCCAGAGTAGAGTTTCATTGCAGAACCTCAAGCAGTCTATTGTACAGGAACAGAAATAGCTTATATAGCGGTGTTAGATCTTAGGTAAGCAGTATATATGATTAGAATAATAAGTGATCGATACAAAAACAGAGATTAGATCTTCTTTATGTTAAAGGAATACATCGTGGAATATCTGGTAGTAATTTTCAATACAAAACCCCGCTAAGCTGTTGAATGTATCCCTTCGTCGTCCTCATGCGTGAACCTTTTGTTTAACCCATCCGAGGCCTAACCGATAGACTAAGCAACAGTTTGCTGTCTATCTGCCCTGACCCTTTATGCTTCGTAGGATTTTGCTTTTGTTGTATTTTGTCTCCTATGTTGTTTCTGAACAGATTATATACTGCAGCAATATATCTGTGACCGGTTTGCCGGGTGCCAGTCTGTGGCGGTAGGGCGCCCGAAGAAGTGCGATCTTAATAGTGTGAATTGTCATAACCGGCGCTCGATAGTATAGGTCTAAACGAACGAACGATGCAGTGAACAACCGTGCGTCTACCGATTGCATCAGCGCAGGCAGAGATGCCAGCAAGGGCGGTCTACTGCCTAGTGGAAGTTCGCACCCGTGGAAGCAGCAGCAGTGACTGGAACAGTGATAGCTGTTATTGCTGAACCATTAGTCGATTTTGCGTGATCCTTCTTGACTCTCGGCTAGCTTCACCCTCTCCTATTCCTTAGTGGGAAGTTCGTGATGCCAGCAGTCAGACCCTACTGCCACGCCGTTCGAGAAAATGTGGCTGAACAGTTTAGCATTTCACGTATATGGCTAGCGATGCCACCTATGCTCTAGATAAGCACAATATTACCGTAATTATTTTTTCCCAGCCGCCTGGTGGCGCTCCAAGTAGCGGCCGTTCCGCCGCCGAAGGTGCGTTCCCCAATGTAAATGGCGGCCGCCTTGAGTCTAAAATTGGCTGGCAGTGTCTGCCTGTTTGCTCAGCAGATTAACGGTATCAGTTGCTCTCAACGAGGAGAGGGCGCTCCAATGACTATACGGACGTATTGCTTGACCAACCGCGACACTGATGGTTTTAACGGTATTGGCGACACGCCTCCATTGGCAATCACAGCAAGACGTAGCTAGGCTGCTGTAGACGCTCTGCGATCGCTCCGTTGTACAGCGGCTCCATGTGCAATTTACTCGCGATCCAATGCAAAAACGCTGATTCCTCTCGCGTACCCTACTACATTACGTTATGGATGAGAAGAGACCGCCGACTGCTAGTAACGGCGCAATGACTGTGCTCAATGGATCTGCGCAGACTTGAACGTTCGCATGCGCGCTTGATTGGCCAACAGCTGGAATAAGTAGTCTGCCTGTCAACATCAACTTCCGGCCATCGCTGTTCGATTATCACTGAAGTGACGATCTTCCATACTATGTCGCATTGAACTACGCATTGAAAAGTTAGACATGAGACCAAGAACAGTCTCGAACTTGTTAGTCTGTGTCGCTAGATGCGTCGGTTGTATATGAACTGGCAGCGATCGACGTATGGATGGCCTGAAATGTATTGGATTGGTCAGTTAAGACCGAAGGGCCAAACGAAGTTCTGCTCTCTCGATGACGTTTACGCCTACATGAGTAGGATCATTTTGGTTAAAGTTTTATGAAACTACAGGTGAAGAATGACTGAAACGAGCAAGGACATCAAGAAGCCTAATGCGAAGCCTGGAATGAAACGGAGTGAAGATCACTTTTAGGTATGTGCTGATTTACATTGTGTCGTTTAACAATTACTGAACATATAAATTAGGTACCATGAATAAGTGACATAAACTGCCAGAAAAAAAAACATCGATTACATTAGTACTAAAAAGATCTGCGCAACCTACGTTTGAAGGAACAAGATCCACCATTCGCAAATGGCTTCGTGTAGATCTTTCTATCTTCATGATTCATGGATACGTTTGCCTGTAAGTGTTGTTCTAGCTGTTGTCTATCGATAGCGTTTTCTTTATGGTTACAATTATGCAAAATTGCGAAGCGAGCACCATTGAGTGCGAGTCAAGTATTGTGAGAGCTCACGCTTTTTACTGATCTAGTACCTCATGAAGCTTGTCTTAGCCTTCGCCGATATGGACACGAAATTATACAGAAAAATTTATAGATCAGTTTAGCATGATTATCATCGGGATCCAACGACTGTACTGGCAGTCTTTTTTCAATGAGTATACATAACAATTCTGCGACTCATGTTAGGTTTTTTTCCAGCTAGCTTTTCGATATTCGATTATCCCGATTAAACACAAAACTGGTGGAACGTTCCACACCGAATAAGAAGCAGCCCCCTTTTTTTTTTTTTTATTTTTACAAAGCTGCTCAGCTCTGAGAGAAGGACATTGCTGCTTTGAAAACTACGATTGATTTTTAGAATTTTCGTACGCACATCTATTTAAGGCACAAATAATAATATGCCCTATGGTTTATCTGTATGGAGCAGTCTTTTTCCCTTTCAGTGCACGTAGCTGTATCGGTACAGGTAGGAACGCAATACCACTAGATGATTTAATGCAATAACGTTCCAAATTTACGCACAGTTTTGTCATTTACAATAGTCACGTTTATAATATACTATAATTCCAAACAAAAAGAACAGTGACAGGTTACGGGTAACGACATGGTGCTATTATTCAGACGTAAATAGATGTACAAATTTATGGTAAACCTCTAGGAATAGATATATGTCTATTTCTAGAGGCTTATCATAAATTTCAAAAACACTTGTGATTGCTTTGGGACGTATAACAACGCTAAGTGCCAATATTATCCAGTTAGCGTTTCCGTGACAGATTGTTCTTTAAGAATAAGTGGAAGTTCGTCGAAGTTATTACCTTAGACTTCGTGGTAGTGAAGCCAGCGCCGTCTGATCGGTAACGTCAGAACTACTAAAGTAAATGGCTCATAGCGGGCTAAACTTGACTATTTTCTACCGTCCGTGTGTTGCTGTCGGTATGATAGTAGCTAGCATAAAATTACCTTCGAATGACTTCATCCAATGATGCGAGGACTTTCTAAACTCCTGCTAAACATTTTAGCCTTAGGAACGTCTGAATGGTTAAATCTAACGAGCCCTATATGAATGTATTTTTTCCAGGATGCATGTATTTCATACAATCCTATACTTGTTGGATATGAAAAGTTAGATATAACTATAAATTGGGTGGTTAGCTCCATTGTCAGCATCTGTTAATTTAGCAAGGTATCATGTTTTATGGCTTAACCTCCGTTTCATAAATATTGTCTGGAGAATCCATAAGTTTCTTTACCTCTAATACACATTATCAAACAGACAATCAATGGATTATTTGACTCCTTGCAAACCGAATGATACAGTGGTAAATTAATTATACACGGATAAAATTCTATCGTTCACTGTCTCGTTTGCTTGCCACTTCCGGCCGTCCGATTTCGGTTTCCAAATAAAAGTTCAATATGAACTTCCGAGCATATACAAACACTGTGGAACACACAGGACATATATGTCATGATATCCTCATTAGGTCGTATATATATTTATTAGCATATTTGATCGTAAGAGCTAACAGCTTAAATCTGCTACTACAGCCTTGAAGCTTAACAGACGTAAACTCAGTGAAATGAAATTCGTATTGTCTTTGAGCTGTGGCACGCATGCATACAAGGTTTCCCGTGATCCTTGATTCAAATTTTAATCATATAATATGGGATTTCTCACCGTCCCGTTATGATTTGGGCTATCAAACCTGGGTCATCTCATACCATGATGATTTATCCTCTTGATAGTTCACAATGCCAGAAGAGCCAACTATACTGTTAAAAGCAATCGTTGCCGGAGCTTAAAACTTGATAGCATTAGCATATGTTATTTCAGAACGAATCGCCATGGCATGAACTAGCTGGCTAGCGTTTTGTTTGTTATTTCCAAGGCTAACGGCACAGGAGAAGCGAGCTGTTCCTGGTGGCCGAAAAGGCCAATCAGTCGTCTCGAACTTCCGAAATAAACTATCAGTAACGATCAGGGCTTTATCAACAGGTACCTGCTACTATATACCGCTAAATAAAAATCCTCCATCTTATACATTCTACCGAGGGTAAGTACAGCCTCACAGAGAGTGTGTGTCTACGTGAAACGTACTGACTATAGATTCTACAGTTCAGTAAGATAACTCGATAAGCCTGCCCGCCTGTCTGCCTGCTTGCAGATTAACTTGACCGCTCTAGTATCTTGTTTCCTAAGTTCTACGCATTTCTACGGACTTCCGCAAAGAGAAATATGAATTTAGAGACAAATTGTTCTTCCTGCTATTTTGTAAATCGTTTCTCGCGAGATTCGAAATGGGCGTGTAATACCGATACGTAAGCACAGCCCATATAACGGATTATGCCCTGACAGTATTCGATAGCATTTCAGTTCAAGTAGAAGTTCGGCTATCTATCTAAGTTGTCATATCGTTTTATAAATCGATGTCTCACTAGGCGGATTGATGCTAAAGCATGTAAAATTATAAATATCCAATGCTATTTCTATATCGACAAGCAGACATGACTATCTAAAACCGCGTTCGCCACATCCTGCTGAAAACCCTGTTCTAATCAGTTAAATAGCTGAACCGGGTCAGCCTAAGGCCACTGGCACCTTTCTTTTCCTGTTTACTCGACAAGGAGAAGCAACTCGTTTACTCTATTGTTAGGATATACTCATTCCCGAAAGGGTGCAAACGCGGCTGGACGTTGTTTGCTTCCACCGTCTGCTGTCAGTTGTATCGTGAAGACCGATTAGATAAAATTAATGTTTGTAGTAGTTCAGGTCCTGCTCCGCTCTTCTTTCTCCACTGAAGCTGTTAGTTTTTTTTTTTTAATGTCTTGCATGTAAATCGCTAGGCTCAGAACAGTCTGGCGATGGCACGAAATTACTGGGTTTGGCCGCGGCAACGAGACCCGACTGCTTACATCATATGAGCATATGAAACTAAAAGTAATGTGGTCGTGAATTATTCAAGTTGGAAGCAAAACATCAGTGTTTAATGGCTCACGTACTGCAACAGCAGACCATACATATACGTCGAATGTTATAAAACGCTATGAACTGAGCTTATCTGCTTTGATCCCGCTTAGGAGCGAACAGAAACACAGGTCATGTGTGCTCGGAATGTTCAGAAATACGGCGGACATGTGACACGGTTTACATTAAGGATGGTCTAATCTGTGACGATGTTAGTCATCACCGCGTTTGCATTGTTTTTTATAGCCGTCATTATTAACATTCGCCACTGCTATAGATCAATCTGGCTCTGTAAACCTCACTAATTCTATTACTATTCTATTATTATTAATGAATGACTGAGTTACTTTTCTTTGCCCCGTTTCGATGATTTAACGTGAGAGCTTTCAATAAAATTACGCTAAACATCTTCACCCCTTGGAAGAAGAAAATTAGCCAGTGCTCAGCAGAACCAATCTGATTAAGCTGATTTCGTAGCTCATTGCTGCTCATTGCAAGATGTGTTATGAAAAGCTAGTATTAGTAGGATGGTCTAATTCGAAAAAAAAATATGCAAAGCATCAACTTTGATCAGATTTTTCTCACAGGTGCACGCAGTTTTACACTGACCTTTAGGGAATCGTTTAACCTTATCTCATCTCTAAACAGCCTATGTACATAGCCAATTAATAAAGTTCTACAGGCAACTCAGTGGTAAGAAGTCGACTGATGCTCCTGTCCGAAACCTGCAGCGGACATTGTTCTAAACGATTGATGTTATTAAATCAAACTTTTCATTGGCGTGTCGGTGACAAAAACAATGGTGACGACGTGCGCCTTTCGGCGGCTAAACACGTATTTTATTATATGCTCTACTTGATACGGGATCAAGACTCAAGGACCCGTACATTTAACCTGCAACTGTATTTCCACTCACTCAAATCTGCATCACTGTTTGGTCATCTGGTTTTTCGTCATTTGATTGCTTTAATCTGGTGGCAGTTCCGTGCCTATGCTTGACAATCTCGTCACTCTAGCTGAGTCATGAAAATATGGATCAATAGAGCTTAACTCACTCCGTGACGAAATTACGACGAGGTTGGACGTCGATTCTCTGACTATTTCATTTTAGCAATACATTTTTTCGAACACTTTATTGGACGGCTCGTAGTAGACGCATGGCAAGCCGTCCAGAACTTTGCTGAGGATACGATACATCTGACAGAGCAAAAGGGCTCAGCCATTAGCAGCCCAAGTGGAAATAGTCTGTGCCCGGTTCACGGTTAATTTGATGCTGATATGAAAAAAATCAATGGCGGAAATCTAAAACACATGTATTCTACGGATAGCTAAATATCTCCCATATTCTCCTTATATCGGCGACTGGCTGCCTAGTTGAATCAAGTGTACCTTAGTGCCTGTTGTTAAACGTTTCTGGATATATTAGCCTCAGCATGGATAAAGTTGAGTATGAACTCAAGCCGGTGCTTTCAGTACGACGAGATATTAAAATTGGGCTTGAGCGTCTAAGATCATACCATCCTCTATGGAAACTCACGAATAGAATAAGCTCACAGATAGAACACGCATCAGGTAAGTGGCAAGTGCTACATGTTAAATAAATCCTTTAAAAAAGTTTATAATTAGTACATATAAATAAAGTTCTTTCTCTGCCTTGACTGTTAGTCGGGTAATGTCACGCTCTACGCTAATATCTCGCACATTCATGTTTATTCATTAGGAGCCTACTAACACGGTAAAGATAAAAAATGGTTAAAGGATAACCACACGAACGGCCTCGCTGGATTGACAGTACAATACAATTGATTAGTGCTCTAGAAAAGCATTACTGTTATGTATGTATAACTTACATGCATATAGCGCATAAATATGTAACTTGAAGGCTCTTGAAGTCGATGCTAACTATAGTCTACAGTTGCACTCGCTGGTTGCGTAAGCCATGTATAGATCGCTGAGGTTAAGGTCAAAACGTTGCATTAGAACAATTACTCAGTGGGTGGAAAGTGGTCGATTTGAGATTGCCAACTCCTAGGCGTCATTTTTAAGGTAATCGTCTTACGTTAGCGCCTACTACAAGTGGCATGATTACAGAAGGGTCTGTTCGAGCTGCTAAAGAAGATTATTTGTCTCTTTTTTGTCTTTGAAACAATAACCCATAAATAATAGTAGAAGCTCAAAACTTGATATGGGTCCATGTGTTTTATTCAAGTTAAAAGTGAGAAGCCTATATGGAAATGCGTCACGTCCAACCGGGTGGGTAAAATCGTTATCGTTTCTAGTAGACTGGGCTGTACTGAACATCTAGTCCGCACTAGATATTCCTTCGGCTTGTAGAATGAAACGAATGGAGAACGCGAGAGGTAAGGAGGTATGAAAATGCACGACAGTGGCCTTAAAATACGCATATGTTTATGTCCCTTGCTTTTAACTTAAAAAAAAAAGTCTTAAAAACATTTTAAGACTTAGGTCTTAAAATGACCTAATTATAACGAATTATACTGCACATGTTAATGGACACGCCCACTTTGACGGTAGCCCACGCTTAGAACGACGCCAGAAAAGAGTCGCATTTCGATCGATCTACACTTATACATATATATATAAATTTTTTTTTATAAATGCCGATGTCAATTATAGGCAGTCTGTTAAGTCGGTAAATTAGCGATCCAAATGTTCTGACCCAGAAGAATCTAACCCAGCTACTATACGATGTGAGGTGCGCTCTACGACACTATCAGCGGCATATGATATGGCACGTAAGCCAAGTGGTCGCGCCGTCAATGCCGACACAGGACTTTGTATAGGAAGCACGTAAAGGCGAATATGACTTGCGTTTTATCAGTCTTCAATTACTTTCCGGGAGATCGATGCGCACCTGCTGTCGGTCACCACCGAGTACCAGCGGCCATCTTAACGAGTCACTGAATCCGCTTTCGTAAATTAATTTCCTTTTCTAGCTCGCAATGCCTTCCCCCAAAACACAAATTTGTCAGGCAGATATTATTACTACTGCCTATACATAGGCAGTTAATTATTTTGTTCTATGTTTTTCTGTACTCAAATGGTTTGTAGAAACAATCGGAGATATTCGGTATACTGGATCTGCCATTTTAAACTATTTAGTGTTTTCATTCGCAATAGTCTGCTTTCTCGTATAGTCACATATGTTCTTTATATTGGTCATATTTATCATAGATGCATGTTATGAACATGTCTGGTCTTAGTTTCTTCCATATTGTCACTAGACTAGCGATTCTGGAGGATTTAGCAGTGTCCATAGACGCTCAGTGCATTAGAAGAATAATTTAGCAAAATCAGATAGATCTTGAACCTTTAAAATCTCTCTCTCTCTCTCTCTCTCTCTCTCTCTCTCTATATATATATATATATATATATATATATATATATATATATATATATAGGGTGTGTCTCACACTTTTGACAACAGGGTACCTTTCCAAAGTTCCGTTTTATTTTTATCATTTAGCAGACGTGACACCATTTATAGAATAGTTATTAGTTAGTCATAATGTCTTGTAACGCATTTTCGATGTCAAGCACCGACATGGAGGACACCTTGATATATCCCTTGAGATAAAGTCTAATGACAGCCAGAATGAGCTGGTAGCTCCGCTAGCTATGTGTTTTCATCGAAACGTGTCTTACACAGAAGCCTGGATCTGGCCAAAGCGAAGATATGATGCCTGTCGCTGATCGTTTACACATACCGCTGAGGAGCCTCAACAGAACGAGTGATTATGAACTGACAAAAACCATTTCCTAATCTCCCATTGATCATGTGTACAAACATTAGAAAACTTTGTACAATATTATGTATGAAAACTTCTTGCAGACCAGTGTGCCTGCTGATGTTTTCGTCGATGTTTAGTATCAATTTGTTTGAAACATTATCTTCTGAACATTACACCTAGCGGATCCGCTGTTTTACCTGCTTAGTGATGTCTATTATGTTGACACTTCATTATTACTAACTCCTTCACATGGCGCCAAAGCACATGTCACGTTGTTCTATTATACTTTAATGAGTGAATATCATGTGTTAGATCGTTAGGCGAGCACGAGATCGAAACAAGTTCGTTGGATGCAAAGGAGATGTGCCCGTCTCTGGCAGACTGCTTCTATCGACGGCTTTCTCGACGCGAGCTAAGAGACCTCCTTTGGGCCACTCAGTCCTCTGATACGTGTCCGTTCGTCGTACTGATCGTGCTCATAGAAGCCAACTCGAAATTAAGTATGCCACAAATGCAATAGTAAACGCTGATCCGAAATTATAAATCATTATTTAAACTTACAATTCATAGAATCGTTTCGTGTGCAGCATGTTGGATACCCCTACCCATATCAGGCATTGATTTTTACCGAAATTTAGATTGTTTTTCCAATCGCGGGAAGAAAGAGCATTGTTATAATTAATGACAGCATATTACCTACTGGATTCATACAGGGCAATTAAGGCGAACATTTATTGCTCGGACGGACGCGGATCTGGCGGAGTTTTGTGAAGTTGTAGCTGAGACTGTTGCCAAGCAAATGCAATCCAATGAACACTCTAAACAGATTTCCGCACGAAAGTTTCCTGTAGAAAATAGATTTATTAATAATAGAAAGAAAAGTAGCCAGGAGAATACCGAGGAGGACGCAGACCTTTCGACAACCCAGGTACAAAAAAAGAACTAGTCCACTAAGTCAAGAGCCAACCAAGTGCGTATGTAAACTCACTACATAATTTATCTTGACTACAGCATAATGACAATAGTAAACCGTTCATGCTATAATACGACGATAAGATCACTGTCATATGTATTGTTAGCCTTTGTGCGGTGCTTCTTTACGATGCGTTCTAGGTGACTGAAGATCGACGTGTGCATCTTATATTTAGCGATCATCCCTATTGTCTATGGAAGCCGTGCCTGAACGTCCTCGAAGGTCTTCTTCGAATGCGGGGCAGCCTCGTGGTCCAGCATCGATTTTCACGGACTTGGATAAAACGTGTTGAATGTATCTAGATATGATTTTTTTCATCTTAAATACAGTGTTTACAGCAGCAATGACTTTGTTCGTCAGGTTGAAAGGTCAGAACAAATTGTTTTTGTCTGTAGCTGAAGTAGTTCCAGTTTTTTCTACTGCGGCCGGTCTGACTAAGCAACAACCGCGCCGAAAAGTAATTTCCTTCGTCTATAGGCGTTCAGAGCGTTTACGGAGTACGTTCAGGGCAAAGCATCAAAGCTGTTATCCGGATAGCGCGCATATAGGCCAACGTACATGGACGTAAATTGGCAGTGGTTGACGTGATACGGGACCATAAAAGCATGCAGCCGTATACGAGCCATTGCATAACCTATTTCCATTGGTGAATATTATAGTTAAATTTTGGCTTTGTATTTGGAATCTAGAAACTTAATAAACTATCATGGTTGAACGCGGCTTTGTCAAGGCAGACCGAACAAGAGCTGTGTGCTAGTGTCTAACAGACAGCTAGTTATATTTTATATATATAATGCGTAATAAATGAAACTTTTCATTGGAAGCTAACAGAAACTAGATGAAGATTACGTATCATTAACTGACTAATGCTTCATTTAGTCGAAAGAGTTTAGATTTGTTCAATAGGCGGTTTTAGGTAAGCGTTGCATCTAAATGGCACATATGTTTATTGCCTTTGCTAAACATAACGATTACCTTGTAACACGGAACACCTACCTCAAAAAACGTTCCAAGGTAAATTTAGGATGTGTACAAATGACTAAATTACTTCTACGCAATGCTAATTATCTCTCTATAGTATCATTATCATATATATATTCTACTGCCTTAAGTAGCACCATAACTCGACGTAACAGTGGAGTGGCAGTGATTTCGTTGAACGGTGCCGAGAACAAAGCAGGTAGTGTCGAACTTTCACTCGACAGACGCACCAATATGTACTCAAATAGTGTTGAGCCACAAAATAGATTCAACAAACGCCGCAATTGATTCTCGACGCCATTAAGATCTACAATGCCGAGATGGTTTATATAGGGCCAAAGTATTTCGCCAGGCAAGACCTGCCGTCTTTGAGAACGGTTCCTTTACTAGGCAGGTACATCAGAACAATTATCGGACGTCACTAAGTAGAGAAGCTTACTAAAAATCCGAGATTCGGCTGAATGTTCCATTCAAATTAGGCCATCCCTGTCGAATATGGCCGACGTTTTGCGGATACCACCGCCATCGCCGATTAAAACCTACACGATGACCAATATCCGAACCTTCGATTGAACAGCTTGTGGCGTTGCTTTAAGTACCGATTCGATTGCCGACTAGGACGCAACAACGGTAGGGCATTCGCTTATGTTCGAGCCTATCAGATCGGAAATGTGCAACGAAAAAAATGGAATTTAAGACACCTGAAGTGTTCATTTTCAGTAATCTTTTATGACTCTAGCAAATTCTGATTTATCTCTAGATTTAGATCAAAAGTCAATCAGCTTAGTGGTATGAAGGAGCTGATCGACTCTGTGGAGCTAACCGCCGATTTTGAGTACAAAATTGAATTTCAAAACATTATTCTATTGGGAATGGTTTCAACCCAAAAAAATCGATTTGCGATAACAATTGTGAATCAGAAACAAAGGAAGAGATACTTACCTTAAGCTATTAAAACTAACCACATCGCGTGAGGTACGCTATCGCAATTTCCTCAGAGCTAAACATGTCTTCGTTCTAACTGAATTCTAACCGAACCCCACAACTGAAACTTCCGACGAAGTTAACGTTTCAATCCATATTCGATTGTCTAGTGTGATGTGGTGTTTTTTTTTTCCATCTATGTTATTCATTACAAACGTACAAAGCGTTCGGGGCGAATTGAGATGAATTTTCAAAGGTTATTTCTCGTAGCCGGCATACGCTCGTCACATATTATCATTACTCGAGAAACTTTAGAACCAGAGCCTCTTGCGTGATGATCACATATTAGAAATGCGAAACTATGACCAATAACTCGGTTTTTTCTAGAACAAAACGTCACAGTTGGAAGGAGGTTCATGTTTCGAATATGCGTGAAGGTCGATTATTATTCATCTCCGTTCGCTGCTTGAATCCCCCCACCGAGACGATAAACTTACTTAATTACCTGATATCGAAGCTCAGCTAAGAACGCGGTTGGTAAGGGATAGAAGCAGGTCTCTATATATCAGAATAAGAAAAACTTACTGTCCCTATGTGGACCCTATGTGGATTGAAAGGATTTTTGACGATTCTAGCTCTTACAGTGCATACCGTGTACGCAAATGTACCTTAGCAGAACGACACCATCCAGATTAAACGGAGCCTCTTGGAGAATCAGCTCGAGCGACTGAAATTGTCGGTTTCTCCGACAATTGTGATTGTAGCAAGTGATGTAGCCAGCCATAGTCGATTTTCCAGCAATGAAAAAGTATAATGGATCTAGGAATCACTCGCAGAAATAGCACCAGGTTTGCCCGCGATTTACAAGATGTTCTCCGTTGCGAATAAAATCGAATGTACAGCTGGTGTTCTTATTATGTTCAACGAAGATGACACCGTGCTGCCACGTATTTTCCAGAAAGAAGTATTCGACTCGTCTGTTGTCCCTGTCAGTTGACGCGGATTGGAGACTTGTAAATAAGGTCTCGAATTAAACCTATGGCCGCAGCAAAAAGGAGTTTCCTTAAATAAGCCCATTCATCTTTAAGAAGCAGCTTTCTGATCACTGCACATATAGGAGCTCTGTATGACCTTAACATTACTTCTGTATCGGATAACGTTTCTGCGTGTCCTGTTTTTAAAGGTGGAACAAAAGAGGATTATGGGTACCTGTTTTATGCCTTTCTTAAAGCTTTCGTTGGCAACAGTCCAAGCCTTAAGGGATCGATCAACACGAAAATTGAAGACCTGATTTATTATCTGAATATTAAATGGAGTGTTGAATATTTACAGGAAGCATTTAGACTTAGTGGTGATGGAACACTTTCAAAATAATAGTTATACTCAACTGGCATCTCTCTTAAAACGGCCTGTGTGAAAAACTTAATTTGATGGCAAAAAATCATTGAACTAACTAGTTTATAGATTAGAATTCCATATTTTGTAAGGAGAGTCATCTACAAACGAGAAAACAAAAACTTCCCATGTGAGTAAGCGAAACAGCTATAAACACCTCCGTTTATCACTATCCATCGTAGAACTGAAACTGTAATAGACAATGGTTGCAGGATTTCAATTATAGCAATGGCCACGCCCTCCCTTGTTTTGCCGTCCATGTATTTCACCGTCCGTACAGACATATCAAACGTGCGTCAAGTCATTGTGTTGTACATGCGTGCGTGCCAACGGTATCGACCGCACGTGCACGATGGCACTGTTCGGGGACTCAGAAACTAGAACATTATATATTTCGTGCCATACGAAATACCTCACAAGCGTAATTATGAGTCGTAGTAATTTTGGCCGTTATGTTTCGAATCTTACGTCCAGTATGGCCGTTAGGCACTCCACAAGTGAGCACGAACCGCAACGTGCTTATGCCTGGGTTCGAACCTATACCACAGCATGTCCCTAAGGCATTAGCGAGCGAATACATTATCTATTAAATTATCACAGAGACATCCTCTGTTTCAATCAAACGACGATATAGTAAACGAAACGATCAGCGTATAAATAGTGCATCTAGCACAGTTCAGATACTTCCGCAGAGTATGTAAATAATATCACAAATAATAACTGCATCTATAAACGTTTCTCAAACGGATCGTCATGCCAGTTGATGGTTCGCCTGTTGTCTGAACGAATGAAGTTTGTGGATAGCTTGTTATGTTGGTTACTACTACTAATAAAGTGTTGCATCTCGATCAAATGGTGTCTGAACATTGTGATTGAAGCTTCTCTAAGCTATTTACCTTTCTGCGTGGAGCTATCTGTAGCAATAACTTTGCGTGACAAACAGACGATGGCTAGAATTTCCGTGTCCAACTAGAATCGCTGCACTAACTTGCAACACTGAACATTAGGGAGGGCGATCACGCCAGATTAAGTTTATAGTAAATACGTGAATGTAGTTAGAATTGCGTTAATAGAAAGGATTCATTTAATCTGATGTTTATATAGTTGCGACGTACGTGTAGCTACCAGCGTAGGTGCGATTTATTTAGGAGACACCTTATTTTTAGTTGGCATTACCGACGAGAACGCCTAACGTTAAATACATTATTGATACGACGGTTTAGGATTGTCCGCGCTCTGAGCTATTTTCCCGACAAAAGCTGCTCCTTGTGCCAATACCGAATCTCTATTTATAGCTGCTGAAACTACGTTCGTTGACGCTTGGGCTTACGCACTTCGTCGGTCTCTAATTGCAAATTATGTTATTTATTTCTGCCCGCTTCTCAAACGAGGATTCGCCTCATCAGCCTTTTTGGGATCTTTGTACTCAATGACGGGCACCACCAGAGGCCTGGCACGTCGATGCACCAAGCCTGATTGCTGTTAGCGTTGGGATACGACTTTATGCAGCTTGGCCTACTGTGCACGCTAGTTCATCCTGCCAGCGGTTGGGCTTTAACTATACAGCGGTGCGTTCGGTAGTGGCGTGCAGAAGTCGTGAATTCAGGCGAGGAAGCTACAGCAAAGTAACTTCTACGTCTTCAACTTGAACAGCTTCAACACAAACCACTCCTAGATAGACACGCATAGATTTTCACCACCTGTCTAGACCGACGCATAGTATTTCGCCGCGTGAGGTGATGGTTGCCATAGAAACCGCTCGAAAAACCGATTTTTGAGCTTCTACCGCGTGTACAAGTGGTTCACAACGAATTCGAACAAGCGCTGGGCTGGGTCTGGCCTGACATAAAAAGGCTTATGTGATTTATCCCATAGATGAATATAATTGCATAAGAAATTATGATTGTACCGGGAAGAAATGCTAGACAGCTTTATTTACGAGTTGATTTCTTCCGAATTTAGTCTTATCAATGCTGCGAAGGAATCAGATATAACTAGTATTGAGAGAGCTATTACAAGAATATATTTTCGGCTTCATGTTTATAAGCAAACCCTACTAGATGCCATCTCAAACATCTGAAGCTATTGTTTAGGTCTTATGTAATGAAAACATGGTGAATTCGTTCACCCTTACTATTCTTCCTAACCACTTTGCTTATATTCTAGTCAGCTGATTTCTAGGGTTCTATGATTCAGTGTAGATATAGCGATACGCCATTAGCACCGATAAAGATGCGATTTAGCCAACCGACATTTTGCTGTCATATAGCAATAACGACGGAAGTACTTTAAATAACCGGTACGTGCAACAATAATATAGAACAGGAGGAAAAACAGCATGGAGACAAAGTAACATGACACAACTTGAAATTAAATAACTTAGGAAATACTTAGTGAGTAAAATCTGATTGAATATTGACTGAATTGGCTATAAGTAAATCGACC